AATTGTAATTATAACATATTATTGGCAAAAATAATTTTTATAATAATTATTATAACGCTTGCAGCTATACAGCTATCGAACATTATTACATCAGATTCCGTAATCTTAAAAATCCCGGCTAATAATTCTTTTTTTTTTAAATAATTTTCTAAAAAATGTTTTAAAAATATGAATAAATAAGAAATTTTTTCTCAGAATTTTTCATAAAATAAAATTATGAAAAATTCTAAAAATTTTCTAGGAAATTATGAGATGTTTTTTCACCAGGGTTGTGCCGAATAGCAGATCTTAAGCTGAAGACATTCCACTTTAAAAATAAAAAAAGTATAGCGTTCTGTAAGGGTGAAATTAGATGATACGAAAAAGAGCTGCGGAACGGAGAGTGCGTTATTGAGACAGCCAATCACAACTATTCCGTATGTTCTGCATTAGTTCTGTACGGAACTAGGTTGCGGAACTGCTGCGGAGTGAAGAGTGCGTCATTAGAGTCGTTCATTCAAATACTTATGTAAATATTTTTGTTATTAAATAATCAATGATGGCGTATTCAAACAATTTGGTTATGGTAGAAGAAATAAAAGGTGCTTACATCCATTCTTAAATAATTAAAATACAAAGCAGGATCACTTGTTTCAAGCAGCTTGATTAAATTGTCGATATCGCCTTGTAGCGTTCGCTGCTCAACAGTATAAATGGGTCTTACCCATATACTTTTTTTAGATTTTTTATGCTCTGACAAGACCGTGTGTAATGCCAATAATTTTAGCAAAGTTAATCTTATTTTTTCTTTTTTATAATTTAACATAGGAGTTCTTAAATATACCTTTAATAACTGTGCTATATATTCTGTGACCATATTTAATTCACTGTCCATGATTAAATGAAAATTTAACTTTATTAAAAAATCTATACAAGAAATCTCACTAAAAACTCCAAAATGTTCAGTTGATGCTTCGATGCAGCAACCAAGGACAGCTATTCCATACGATTGTATTCCGCAAGCCTAGTTCCCTCAGTTCACATGATACGGAATAAGGAATCCAATAACGCACTGCAAAAAATAAAATTTAAGTAAACAAACATTTTTATAATTATAGCGCTTTGAAAATAACATATAATGTTATAAATTATGAAAAAGTTTATCTGCGTATAGTAATTTAATGATAAATATTTTGAAATAAAAAAAAACAGTTTTTAAAGGTTATGTTTTCTTTAATTTTAAAATCTTTATTTAAAATTTAGCTACGCTTAACGGACATTTTGAATTAGCGTACGCGGTGCTCCGCCCGTTACAAGATATTCTCGGGAGACTAGACGGATTTTGTCCAGCCGTTTCATGCCGTTCGTCGTCGATTAAAACTAGGCGGAGATCTTTCAATTCCTTATTCCGTATCATGTGAACTGAGGGAATAAGACTTGCGGAATACAATCGTACGGAATAGCTGTGATTGGCTGTCTCAATGACGCACTCTTCGTTCCACAGCTCTTTTCCGTATCATCTGATTTCACCCCAAGACTTTTCGATAGTCAACCGACAGGCGGCACCAGCAATTGGCTGCCAGCAATACTTCGACATGCGATATATCGAAACTCGAACGATACGATCAGTCGATGCTTCCGTACGAAGCCGGATGCGGCGAACGATCTAGAACATCTTCGAATATATGAGACCGGCTTCTTTTTCCGGAGCCACATGTAAAACGGCACTCTGTTCGGAGCCGGCATTAGGATCAGTCGAAATAGAGTCGTCGGTGAATTAAATCTAGTTTCGCGTGCGGTTAACTAATATTAAGTGTATTCTGCATTTTGCAATAAAGATCATTTATCATTCTGATAATATAGAAGTTAATTCGTACTCCTGATATTCATTTAATACAGTCGGAGTTACACCAATCGGAGCACGTGGTTCAATTCCAACGGGTAACGGACATTTTGCTACAGTGCACGCGGTGCTCTGAGTGTTAAATTATAGTCGAAACTAGAGCCACATTTGTCCAGTCGTTTTATCGTTTGCCGGGTAACTTTCAGTTCAGTGCAGTGAACATACCGATTATAATATTCATATTTTCACGTGGTAACGTTCAATTAAGAACACAAATATGTCTGATTCATATATTTTGCCAAACGAGCTATTAGAAATAATTTTCAATTTCTGTGATATATATACTTTATCACAAATTAGTATGGTGTGCAGACAATTTAATAAGGTGGCAAAGCATACATTAAATAAAAAAAGTAAACATTTGTTTGTCAGTATCACGAATCAGAAATCGAAAAAATTTGGTGAACGGTAAGTTATATAAAGTCTTTATTTATATTTCTATTTATTCTAGAACAGCTCGGAATTAGTTGAGCATTTTAGCAGATTTTCATAGTTGACACCTTCTTTTCTCTTATGAAGGATTCATAATGTCCGATGTCCGACGTACGACGTCCGATATCCAATAATAAAGCTTATTTTCTAGACAATAAAATATCTAGCTAAAATTTCTTGACATCGGACGCAGTGTGAATTTTCCATTATCGCCTGCGCCGCAACTGCTAGAACTAGCGCCGAGCGTAAGGAACAACACTATTCAACAATGAGTGGGTTTTTCTCTCTTGATTAATGAAATTTATAAAAATTTATTAAAATTCATTAAAAATATTTTTTTATTTTTAAATTTATTATGTTGAAATATTTCAATATATTTCCGCGTTGCCCAAGAGGTACTATTGCTAACGCAAATTTTTTTTTCTTTTTTTTTAGTCATAGGGCGGTATTCGTAGGGCGGTATTCATAGTCCGTTCTTATAATTAAGATTGTCTTAAGTATTGTCTTAAAATGCTATGAACCAATCAAAAAGCCAAATTAGTATCTTAAGACGACGATGACGACGTCTTAAGACGATCTTAAATATAAGAAACGACTATGAATATCGACCTATAAACTAATCAGAAAGCCATATTAATATCTTAAGCCGGGTCTACAATGAGTCGGTAGTCGGTAATCGGAAATCGGAAGTCGTAAGTCTTAACCTAAGTCGATGACTCTATCAATTTTTCGCATCCACAATGAGTCGCTAGTCGTAAAGCGAGTCTCTCAGCTGGACCAATAGGAAAACAGATTTTAGTAGCACCTACTTGCTCCCAACAATGTTTTTTATCTATATTTTTATATGTTTTCACATATTTTGCGTACAGGCAAGAATTTGCCTGCACAATTTTAATTATCTCTAGGTCGTCCAGATTCATTTTGATAAACACACATTGGGCTTGTTCGTTTTAGCTGCACTGGGACAGCTCTGGGTCTGCTCTAAACAAGATAATACAGGACAAACTATTTATCTGTCCTGTATTATCCTGTGTAGAGCAGACCCAGAGCAGCCCCAGTGTAGCTAAAACGAACAAGCCCATTGATTAACACACATAAACACGTGAGGCATGCATGCCTAGAACGTCGAGGCGTTTGATTGGCCAGTCGTAAGAAAATCGGTAGTCGGTGTCGTTAAAAAAAAAAAAAAAGTTGGCTGTTGGCCAACTCTACTAACTCACCGATTACGACTTACCGACTACCCTTCCGACTCGTTGTAGACTCGCTTTTCACTCACCGATTGTGACTTAAGACTACCGACTACCGACTACCGACTCATTGTAGACCCGGCTTTAATGGCTGGTTTATGCTTCGATCTTAATCTTAATCTTAGTTTTAGTCTTAACTTAATCTTAAGGACTCGTTTATGCTTCCCTGGAAATTCGGACTACGCATGTGCAAATGTAACAAAACCTAACCATTAATTTATTTTTATAATTTGGATTTTTTTATTCCAAACAACATCGAATTGTTGGACACATTCAATTAAATCAGCATCACTCATTTTTGTATTTTACAAGAATCGAAAACCATTATTTCGCGCGGTTTCGTGCTGCGTCGGACGTCAGACTTACCTCATTGGCCCGGCCTTAGGACATTAGGGACTAAAGTTAAAAGATGGGATCTTTCCAAGATTAAGATTAAGACTAAGATTAAGACTAGGGAAGTATAAACGCCCTTATGGCATTCTACGTTATCAACTCTTAAGATTAAGATTAAGACCGAAGCATAAACCGGCCATAAGACGACGATGACGACGACTTAAGACGATCTTAAATATGAGAAACGATTATGAATATCGGCCTATAAACTAATCAGAAAGCCATATTAGTATTTTAAGACAGTACTTAAAATAATCTTGGAATAAGAACGGACTATAAATACCGACCATAAAAAGTCAAGAAAATCTAATCTTTTTCATATTTTATTTTTTTTAATTAAGAATTCGTTATTTTTTGTTTTCAATCTTCAGGAGTAGCTTACTGGAAAAACCACACAAAAAAAAACATGTCGGCATCGCTGGCCATAGCGGCTGAGGCACGCACGGTAAGAAGAAAAAAGAACGTGTTAACCACGGATATCGGCTGGCTCAACTAATTTCGAACATTATTCTAGAACAGGGCTAATGAAATGTGGTTAGGTTCGCGAGCCGATCCCTCCGTCGAACGCTTTCCCTCCAACGCGACTCGTCAGCCGGCAGAACCATTGAGCTATATAGCATACTGGCTTAGTTTACATCAGCGCTCGGAATTAGTTGCACATTTCGGGTCAATTCTCGAGATGACGCCTCCTGTTCCCCCACTATCGCTCGACCGCTGGCGGCCGAGCCGCCGATAACTCTGTCTCAGGAGCGTTTTATATTAGAAATAGGCTGAATTGTTTCGGCATTTCTCAGGAAATCGTAACATTTTCTTCGCTACATAAATAATGTTTATTTTCATTAATACATTATATATATATTCAATTATTAATTAAAATAAACATTATTTATGTAGCAAAGAAAATATTACTATGTTCTGAGAGGCGCCTCAACAACCCAACCTATTTGTTATATAAAACGCTCCTGAGCCAGAGCTATCGGCGGCTCGGCCGCCAGCGGCCGGGTGGTAATGGGGAAACAGAAGGCGTCGTCTCGGGAATCGGCCCGAAATGTGCAACTAATTCCAAGCGCTGGTTTACATCGATTGTTTAGTACGCGAACCAAGTACTAAATCTGCTTCTCCGATAGATATAAATCGTTTAATGTAAACTGTACACCAATCAAAGAAGCAGATTTAGTACTTGGTACGCGTACTAAACAATCAATGTAATCTAAGCCATTGAGGAATGCCTTGAAGGAGTGGGGCTAATTCCACTGAGCAGAAGAGAGAGCTATGTGTCCTGAGCTTAGAACATATACCCAGATAGCAAGTTGCCCGCAAGTTGCTATTAATTTGCTTGAAATTGCTTTAATAAAGTTGCCTTCAATATTGAGGAAAGCGGCTTCCGATTTTGTCTATTGGATTGTCGATTTTTATTGCTAGGAACAGTTACAAGCAACTTGATGGCAACAGTTGCCTTCTTACGAATCAGTCATATAATAGATTGTTGGAAATCATATGGCAACATGACGGAAATAGTTTCCACCTAAAATCTTAATTCCATTAGTTGCTAATAATCTGACGACAATTTGAAGGAAACCGTTGCCGTTAAAAAAGACTCATCTGAGACATTGATTGTGTATCATGCAATATATATAGTGAAAATTACTAAAATGAGCAAATTTATTAATGTATCTGTGATTTGAGAGTCAATTCTGTATCATGAAATGTAGTGAAAATTACAGAAATAAAAAAATTACTAAAAAGAAAATTTACTAAAAAGTATATAATCTTATTGTTTAATAAGTAATAAAATTGCTTACTTTTTGTAATTTTTACTACATTGCATGAATACAGAATACAAAATCGACTCCTAAATTACAGATGCATTCATTGCATACAGATGCATAAATTTGCTCATTTTTGTAATTTTTATTATGTTGCATGACACAATCAATATCCTGGTAAGATTTTGGTAGGCTATCAAGGTCATGCTTCACAATAATTAACCATAATTATATAATTGGATTCAAAAGTTTATTTAAAAAGTATCTTTTCAACATTCTTTTAGAATTTTCTTTATTAATGATTGCCCATATTCTGGGAAAATAAAATTTTTATAGCTATTATATATTTTATTGCTACCCAATTAAATAATAAGTGTCCTTACAAAATTAAATTAGACTTTCCAAACACTTTACAAAAAAAACAACACACTTATTGGCCAATCCAACACTATATAAATGAATATTTGTATCTACGCATTTTTTATATAAAATATATTTATGAAAATAAGAATGCACGTTAACAACATAAAAGAAACCGAAAATAAGAATGCACGTTAACAACATAAAAGAAACCGAAAAGATAACTTTAAGATAAAGATAACTTTATGAATCATTTGATGAGTGCTCATTTTCATCGCTATCATTTTCTACGTCTGTAACGTTATGTTCATTTTCTGAATTTCTATTATCCCTGTCGTTATCATCATTTTCTGAATTTCTATTATCCCCGTCGTTATCATCATTATATAATGCATCTGCAGTTGCCTGCAAATTTCTCCGATTTCCTTGTACACCTGGATGTCTACCTCTGGCATTCCGGAATCGTTGTTTGGCAATTTTCAAGGATGCGACGATATTTTTTTGGAATTCTTCTCTGGTTGGTTTAGGATAATACCTATTTGACGCTACGGCTTCTGAAAAATAATCAATATTATAATCAATATTGTACACACAGTGGACTAACAAATATACACAAATATACATACGGTAAATCGCTTGACATAAAATTGTATTATAGAATGGGAATTTAATATCATTAATTCCCCACCATGTCATTTGTCCGGCTACTTGCATCGTTAAAGCTTCTTTTATACATTGATGCACGCTATCTTTTAATGTTATGCAGTTTAAAAATTTAAAGTACTGTACCTATAAACATACAAATTATTGCAATAAAAGTAAAAAAGGTTAATCAATAAAGAGATAAGTTAGTTACATGCTATTTAATATTCTGAATTATGTATATGTGTAAAAGAATAATTCCGCAAACGTTTCGATCTGTAATAAAGTTATTTTCGAATACGATGATAGATCATTTAGAAAATAAACATTAAAAATAAATAAATACAATATTAAATTAAAACTGATTCTAACACGATTAACGATTACAAAACTGTCGAGTATAAAACAAATTCTGAAGATATACAAATTATTACATAATATAAATTGAAATATACATCTATAAAGCAATTTCTTATGTGTATATTAAATATGAATTAATTTAATATTTACAACTTCTTCATAAACGGCGTTATCCTTTGTAAACATTTGTATTGCTTGTATTGTCGAA